TGAGTAAACAGCGATCGGAGATTTCCGCGTGGGTCAGATTCATTTTCCCCGCCACGAGCGCGTTCTTCGGATGACACTCTACATGATACTGCGATGTGTGCATTCCATTTTTATGAAATAGAGCATGAAAAGCTACATTCGAGGGCATTAAGGACTCAGGTGTCCCATTCAGAGGGGTAGAGGGCTCAGGTGTACAAAATGAAGTCTTGTCTTACGTGATTTTTTGTCCTTATGGACTAATGGAGAAGACGTCTGCATGTCTTAGTCGCCCAATTTTGATCAAAAACATATGGAGACAGGTCTGGATTAACCCGAAATTACTTGCATATTGAATTTCGTGATAGCACGATGACAATTGACATGCGATGGAGTACGCAATTAATAATGATGAGGACGGGGAATTCGTCCGCGATTAACTGTCAACGTTACAGTCCGTTGCCATGTAACTTTCCCCAACCTTGAAACGTGAGAATTTCGTCGGCTTCGTTCGACCGCCGTTCGATGACGAAGGGGACATCCGCATCCTGAACTCATCTTAGAGGGATTCCCGAGTCTCTCGGAAGCCGAAGGCAGTAGCAAGCCAAGAAAAAGGGAGGAGGGAGGTCTATCGAGAGGATGGATGGATGGTCGGGGCGGGCACGGGGACTATAGCTCTCCTTCCCCAAGACTGGCAAGGGACTCCATTTGGATTGTCTCCGAGGAGCATTAGCTGCTAATGGACACACACTAGCTCTCTTCCAGATGAGAAGGCAGTAGAAAAATGATCATGAACCCACTCTTGTCTCGTCAGAGCCTAGAACCTACTCTCTCCTGTTCCTTCATCCAACGACAGCTTTTCTTCCACCCCCCCCCCCCCTTTTCACTTGTGTTTTGCGTGAGACGATGCTGCTTCATCGTTTAAAATTAACCACATTTTGTGCTTGCATGGTTGTGGTCTTAATAGATTAATTTTTTTCGTTCGTGGGCAGAAGAAATAAGGTTCGGGTGTGAACAAGGGCTCAAGTTGAGTGATGGGACAAATTGGTGGGGGCATTCACATGGGATTGAGAAAGCCACTGACCTAGGAAGACTTTAAGCCTGCTCATCCCGGTCTTAATAAGGTCCGGCCCGTATTTGCTCAGGTGTCATTCTTGGAACATCTCGTATTGATGTTTTGTCAAAAGCTGTGAGAAGCCCAATGTGTGCAGTATTTGACTCGTACAGTATATGGATTCCGTTCCACTTGTATCGATTGACTCCTTTCGGCCACCTGACAAATCCCGGGGATGCATCGAGGCGACAGTGAAAGCTTTCTTTTTCCTCAGAAGCTGACAAAATAGAAAAAACAGGTGTCCTTGCAAATGCCGTTCACCACAGGGTGGCAAACGGTACGCCCCGACCGAGACGCACTAATGTATGAAGTCGACATCGGTCGTCCCTGCATGTCACATGGCCGTCGCAAAAAAGGGCGGAAAATTTTGCACCATCATGCACCGAGCTTCGATCCTTATCGAATGTAACCCTGTGTTTACTTTACCCTACTTAGTCAGATTATCTGAATTACGGCGACTGGGGCCCTGCAATTTCCTTGCCAATCAACGCCGTCTGGGAATTAATTGCGGTCCCCTCACCTATCTGCCTTATTACGTCCCCGATGACACAGCATTGCGGGCCGACGAGACAAGATAATAGCGCCTCCTTCCTCTCTCGCTTTTCATTTGCACCAAGAGTTTGTTGTGGTGAAAGGGTTGTGGCTCCTTTGTCCTGTCCGGCTCGTTCAGGCGGTTTTAGAACATTGGCCTCGTGTAGATAAAAACGCGATTACAATTATGAGATCAGGTGAGCTGTCGAGGGGCCGCGAGGGGAATGAATATGCGTGAATGGAAACAGGCGATGAAAGCAATATGGATTGGGCTCTGATGAGTGGGTGTGGGTCAATCGCCCGTTTCGTGAACATAATCAGCTGGCTACTGTATACGTCCGTGATTGAGACGTAAAGCCAGCAACAATGGATAATCCCCGGTGTTGGATCGAAGCAATCTGGGTTATGGAAACCAGATACCTTTTTTATGGATATCTCGTGCATGGGGTGTCTCGTCCACGTCGTCCGTGTCCCCCCGGTTCTTTGAATGATCAAGGATTTAATTACGGTAATGGATTGGCCAGTTGATGTGCCAAGTCATGACAGGTAATAAGGTGAGCATCAGGCGACTAATTTCCCCAAATGGCAGCCCTTCCCCTGGGAAAAATTCTCTCGACGGCTTCAGCTGCTCCACCGAACCTGTTCCGGCGGATACAGGCAGTGCAAAGTTTCCGTATCAGATCCTGCTTGTGTGCCGGCAGGAGATGTTTTCTCGCTGCCTCCAGTATCAAAAGCCCCTGACAGCCGACATGGAAGGAACCCAAATGGCTTGCAAAAACATTCATGCTGAGGGAAAAAACCTGCTCATCCTCTTCGTCTCAAATTAACGCCCGACTTTCCTAGCCTCGTTTTCCTCTTCCTCTTGTTTCTCCTCTGCCAGAGACGATGCAATTGAAGCAATTTGGGAAGAACAGTTTCTTTTCCTGTCCTTGTTTTCAGGAAAGAAAACATCCAAAGTTGGAGTCGGCCGGAACTCGTAATGCTTCTTTCCTGGTTCCAGAGCCTCAATATGTTTCGGGTGGGGTCGATACCATCCCTTTCTTCTCTGGTTCGTATTCGCGAAATGCTGAAGTGAATGCGCCTTTGAATGGTGTCATAGAGGGAAGATAATAGAAATTACTGGGGAGTCGACTTCATTCCCACGTGCTAATAATAGTGCGGACAGGAATTCCCCTTATTAAGTGCATTCCTGTCATTCCTGGAAGAGGGATCGAGTTGGAACTGGGCTTTTGATGAGCTCTTAGCTCTGTTCCCCTATCGTTCTCCCTTTGTCCCTTCCTTCCACGAGCACCCCAAGTTCCATGAAATGATGGGACGATCTCACCAAACTTCGTAAGAGATCCTTTTCCGTAGAGAATTTTCGGCATACTTGCCACAATCGTGTTCCGGTTTCCTGTCGCCGGGTGGCACGATCATTCAGGCTCGCGGCGATCGATTCTCGGCATTCAGGGCCGGTGAAATTTGAAAAAGGGGAGAGGCAGACGAGAGATGTGAAAGGGAAAGCCTTTAATACCCAATCACTTCGTTAAGGTGTCTCCTTTGAAGGAGGAGGGAGTCCCTGGAGAATCTTGAACCAATATTGGGACTCTCCGGGCCCCTCTACTCGAGGATTAACTTGATTAAAAAATCTCTTCTCTTTGATGAGATTAAGGATTTAATGACTTCTCCTTCTACAATGACCCGGTATTTCCATATCATCCTCACAGCTATAAAATGTTCGCGGTCAGGGGATTTATTACCTATTACGGCAATCGCACGGGTCAGTTATGAGCATAGAATTCTCCAGGGAGACAAAGTTGGGAAAAAGCTTTAGATCCGGCGACGAAGATGCCAAGGAACTGAAACTGTCATAGATTCGCGTTGGAACATTTCCTTTGTGAGCAGCTCTATGGAAACGGGGGACGGCGCGAGCAGTTCCGCCGTAATAATGCTCATATAGGAATGCTCTCAACATGTAAGCGATATTGCAAGAATGAAGTCCATCGAAAGGGAGGCATCAGGGTGCTCAATCCATTACGGCTGCAAGCATTTCATTAGCCATCTGGTCCATGGCTCGCGCAGAACGGAGGGCAGCGAAGGGGGTCTGCCTCGTCTCGTCCTCCGCACCAGTCCCTCGAGAACCATTCTCGCCTATATGGGATTCATGATCACTCGTAATTACTACGATGGCCTTTTGACTTCCCCCTTTTTTTTTCAAATCGTCGTCATATTGCTCCCGGCACGGCTTTGTGCTCATTCTGTTCGCAAAAACGATCGATCTCGCTCGTGTTAATCGCATGAAATTGCTTCCTTCAAAGATCGGGCAATTTTTCTCTTCATCGCAGACTATTAGTAACTGCGAGATATGGAGTTAGAAATAAGTTGTATTTCATGTAAAACATTTTGTTCACGCAAAAGTAAAAATGTTTTGACTCGGAAAGCTAAGGTCGTACCTCGAAGATAATGAATCCCATCAAATAAGAACACATATTAGAGGATGCATTGTACAGAGTTTGCAGACTTGTTTTGCATGTTGCGCTGGTTCCCAGTTTGTATCAAGGAGTTGCTATGAAGATTGTGATCGCATCAATATGCGCGCAATTCTGGCAAATGAACCCTCTTCTGGAACCATACACCCAACTTACATGGTTGCCATCTCATACGGGCAATGGCCGTGACAGTTCTCTGGCTCCATCGTTCCGTAAAAACGGGTTTTGTCTTCCCAAGGGAAGTGAGCGTACGTTACAGGCAGTCGCTATGCTGTCGCAGTAAGGGCCTTATTACTAAACTCGGAATGATTGGGGTATGCAGTGGGAAAGGATCGAGGCTCGTATTGAGTGAAGGCGATAAAGAGTAGAGACGGATGGGGGTGGCTCGTCCCCGGGGACGGTAGACATTGTTGATGAGTTCCAGAGCAATATCCCTGATGAGAAAACGAAAAGAGGGCAAGAGCCGGAGCCTCTGTCTCACACATGTATTGTACCCATTGCGTTTCTCTTTGGTCCGGAACACGGTTTCAATCCCTTAATCGGATCTCGGGGACCGCATTTAGCTGATTATCCGCTGCAGGATCCTGCCGATTGATGATTACAACACCAGCGTCGTTAACAAGCTCTCCCTTCCCTTTATGACTTGATCCTCTGCCTTCTTCTCGGGCTAATGAAACCTTCCATTACTTCCACATCAGTCCTCGGAGGCGGAAAATCCTCCATTCCTCTGAGTCTAAGGCTTACCGTGTAGGCTGTGGCTTACGCATCCAGTTAATTTTGGATCATGCAATTTTTTTTTTTTTTGAACGAACCACCCCGTATAAGTCTATTTTTTCCGTTGTGACAGTTTTGGATGCCTCGGACTTCAACAAGTCGATCGGTCTGCACGGAGTTGGTCTGAACAAGAAGAAGAAGAAGAAGAGGCGACACAGGTATGTCGAATTCTTGCCGAAAATGTCTTCCCTGCGAGCCATGCCGATCAATGAGCATGCCTCCCCATACAGGACGATCTTCACGAGCTACCAGCTGGAAGAATTGGAGAAGGCCTTCAAAGAAGCCCATTACCCCGACGTATACGCGAGGGAAATGCTGTCCTTGAAGACAGATCTCCCAGAGGACCGAATTCAGGTAGGAGAGAGAAATAGACAGAGAGGAGAAAGAGAGAAAGAGAGAGAGAGAGAGACTATTCCATTCCTTTCCTCTCCGTGGATGGCATCCGCCCACTCAGGCAGATCTTGAAAGAAAATTCTGATGTCATCCAAATCCGATCCTTGTTTTGATAACTTTGTTGATTTTTCCTCCCCGGGATGGTCTTCTAATCGGGATGAGTCGCAAGAATTCCTCTTTCCTGTTTTCTTAGCCCTGTCACAATACGTATTGGCCTGGAAAGATCAAGTCCCGGGTAGATGGCTCATCTAATTATGCCTTTCACACCAGAGAGAAGTGTTGGAATGGAATGAGAGCTAATTTCGTCATCGTACAGGAACTCCACCTTCCCACTTCAATTAGTACGTCGTCCTCGAGCCCTGTTTTGATTGCCATTACAAAGGGCTGTTGGAAAAACTCCTCTTCCTTTTCAAATGGTTAAATTCGTCTCGCCATGTGAGGTCCCTGATAGAAATCTGAGGGGTGTCCTATGAAGGCAGATGCAAAAGAGAGACGTTGCCTCACTTCCGTTGTTGAGTCGCACAATGCACAGCGGTGACAGGTTTTGATGTGATAATAGCCAGGGGCATTGAAAAGTGCGCTCTTCTTCACGCCTGGGTGTGGTCTTCATAATTCTTGCCTCCTTTCATCCACACTCCCCCCTCTATCTCTGTGTACTTTTCCTCTGAAAAGGCTCTAGATACAGAAAGGTTAGGCCCAGTGAGTTTCCTTGCAACAAATCGCCAGATAATCGCTCACATCCTCCCTCATATTCATTCTTCCGTTCCCGTTTTTTTTTTATATGCACTTTCCACGCCCTCAACCTTGTCGTCTGAGGAGATTGTCAAGGGAACACCTGTCGGGCATTAACTTTTCATATTCACCTCTTAATGGAATATGTCGGGGAGTCAATTGATCTTTTTATCCCACGTGTGTCATTGATTGCTCTCTTCCTCTTCCGGTGCCCCCAGATGACCAACCAAAACCCCCCTAATGCTTCAAATCCCTAAACCGTCAATCTCACCTGGATTTCCCCAGCGCTTATACGGATCTGAGACCACCCATATAAACGGGAATCCAGATGCTCCCTTCTGCTCCCAGGCTTACGGTAATGTCTTAAAATAAAGAATCTTAGCGCAAAATAGCCCTTCATAAACCCTTCTGTACAAAACAGATTAAGAACCACTTGGGCCCCAATAAAAGCTGAAAAGCGAAAAGGATTTGCAAGGATCGCCAGCGACATGTGGCATTCGAGAACATACTGGCCTATGAGAAGCGATTCTTAATTGGACTTCTCTTAGCGGTGGATCACAGCTTCTGTCATGCTCACAATCGATTTGGGAATTAATCAACATGTTTTCTTCACCTCTAATATTCATAAGCTTCCTTTGTCCGCAGGAAATAAAAACTCAATGATATACGTTAGCGCGGATGCCTATTAAACATCGCAAAATATTAGAACAGTTAAACGACTTCCAGGAATTCTCTTCACAAGTTTAAACAACTCGTAAGTTTTGTTCCAGGAAAAGAATGATCGATAACACGAAGTAGAGAAGCTGAAAGGCTCCGAGCGAGTGCTATATCCATGTAGTCTAATGAGGAAAAAGAAAAACACATTTCACGCTCACAGACATGGTTCTCTTTGGTGTATTCAGGTATGCTTCATGATTTAATGTGGCCCTACTCATGAATTCAGCTCGTCATCATGCGAGGAAAATGATTGATCTACTTCCAAACTAGGTTTCAATATCAATTTCTAGGAGACGAGGGCATTGTACGTGCACGATGAGAGACGCATGAAGAAAAAGTGAGGGAAAGAATCGCGTCTCGAGGAGGGCAGAGGGCAATGCCTTCGCGGGCTCGATTCTTATGCTCCGATGTTTTCGTTCCTTGGTTTGGGGTGTGAGCCCTGACGGTTCTCACTGTTTCGGCGGAGAAGGGCTTTGGATTGATAGATTTTGAATATGATCCGTTGAATGCGTTGAATATAGGGTGGGAAAAGATGGAGACGGATATAGACGATAGATGGAAGCGGAAGAAAGGCGGCAGAGAATAATAACCCGATTAGAACGTCATTAGGAGGGATGTTGTAGCCTAGTGTTGGTGACACGCGACCGACACTCGATCTCTCTCGATGGGGGCACCCCACGAGCACCCCCTGCTGACCACTAATTGGTACACCCCCTTGTGATTGATATCATCATCGTCGACATCAGCCAACGGTCAGCTCCAAACGAGGCCACAATACGAGAAGAAAGGGGGAATTTCCACGTTATTCCCCCCAGAAATGATATTCTTTCGGAGAAGGCAGAGCAGCATCCTGGTTGGTGGTCTTGGCAAGGAGGGGGAAGAAGGGGAAGATGGGGGAAAGGAGGGAGCCTTCTTTTCCCTTTCCTCCGGACGGAATTCTTCCGCTGCATTAGGCCTGTCCCTGCATGGCTAATGTCCCACAATCCATGTCCACAGCGAATCTCATCAGGCATATAATCAGGTCCATCCTGATAAATTCTCTGTCTGATTGGAAGAGGCAGCAAGTTGTGACGTCACCCATCCCCTCTTTTGTGTTTCTCCCCCCATCTTAATCCGTGCCCCCATACTATATATATATTTTCAAGAAACGGCTGAAATGCAGCTTGTTCAGCCTAGAATGAATTCCCGAATAACCTCACTTTGAAATGCATAGCAAAGCGGAATATCGAGGTATGGCGAACTCATCAGGCGAAATAAAGACATACGCATCACCAATTGGTGAAGAGCAGATTAATGATCCCCATTAATTCATATCTGTCTGTTTGATTTGATATAATGATGCGGAAGTTCGGGAGCAGAGGAGGGTGAGGATTTTCTCACCGACGGGGGGTAAAGGGATACCCACATGAAAGTGGGCGTTCAGGGTTTAACGAGCCCGGGGCAGAGAATGGAATGGAATGGAGTGAGAGCAATTAGGAGCTTGACTAAAGCATGATCGCTTCTCATGGAACGCCAATTACCTCCCAAGAATATTCATGAGGGACAAATTGATTAACGAGGAAACTGAATAATCCCGACGAGAACGGAGCTCCCAGGGTAGCGCGTTTATTGGCTTCGTTACCGACATTTTGCATGCATCCTACAGGCACGCTTGCCCGCCCTAAGTGCTTTGCTTGAAATTTCCCTCATAAGCAATTTCCTCGTGCATGTTCTCGCCCAAAGACGGAAAGACCGAAAGAGACTCTTGGATTTAATACCTCAAAAATTTGATTCCGCCCTCTGGCTGAGAATACGATCTTCCACACGAGGGCACGCAAGTAGAACTAGGTTATATACATTGGACCTCTGCGAGCATGATTCATCCGAAGCAAATCAAGAGATTAGGGTTTTTAATCAGGGTCACTCGTCTCCTGTCACGACACGCTACTGCTAAGCCCATCATCACCGGCACTCCTCATGACTCCCCCGACACACGATGATTCATTTCATACGAATATTAAATAAATGGACCCTAGAAACCTTTTTGCTGACGCTCTCCGTGCTCTCCCTTGGGCAGGTTTGGTTCCAGAATCGCCGGGCCAAATGGAGGAAGACGGAGAAGTGCTGGGGCAAAAGTACCATCATGGCAGAATATGGTCTGTATGGAGCTATGGTTCGCCATTCACTCCCTCTCCCGGAAACCATCTTGAAAAGCGCCAAAGAGAGCGAGCAAGTGGCTCCTTGGCTACTAGGTAGCCTGTTGTCATTTGAGGTTCCTCTCATAACTTTTCCCACGTTTGAGAGCAAGATTTTAAAGGTATCATAAATATTTCTTTTCCCCCCGCATAGGAATGCATCGCAAGAGCATGGAAGCAGCGGAACAGCTGAAAGCCGTCGAGGACGGAGAGACCCCGGAGACCCACGATAAGGGCAGTGGACATCATTCCGACACGTCCGACGAACCGAACAAAACCCACCAACCTCACCACCATCATCAAAATCTCAGCGAGCAGCAGCACGAGTCGCAATGCATGGCGAGCATGATGTCAGAGGCGCAAGACTTTCGGACGAACAGCATAGCAGCCCTGAGGGCCAAGGCCCAGGAACATTGTGCTCGGATCCTGAGCAATTGTGTCGCCATTCACGATGTGTCTCGTGATAGCAGCAGCCCTTCCACCAGCCATAGCGTGGACTCTCTCTCCCATTCTGACCCCGTCTATTGATTGAACTGACAAAATCCCTCATGGAGCTAGGCATAATTGCAGGTCTCCAGTGTATGTTCTGCGTATCTGTCCTCCTTTACACGTCTGTGTCCCCTTGAATTGTTGCATCTATCAATGTCTTGAGTGATGCAGAGAAAACAAAGATTTATTGTTATTTGAAAATTTATCATGAATCGAAACAAATAAAGGTTGCATCATGTGTGAGGGGTGATACTAGAATGCAGAAATGACTGGAAAAAGGAGAAAGTGAGAGCTACATGCGTATGATCCTTTTGTTGAAGGAAGGAAACGGAAGACTTGATGACCAGTCTTCAATCATGTCTGGTTTGAGGCTGTGCCAAAAAGAAGTGAAGCAGGAGGGTAGAGGGATAATCGGCCATGGGAATCCGATTACGGGGCACCAGGGTCTCAATAGGGGGCAGATTGCATGCGTGGCCCCCCCTCTTCCCTGTTTATCTTATCTTTCTCGGCCTTTATCATTTTCATCGAGTCCACTCTCATCTTCGACGGGACGACAATGGACAAGAACGTTGCCCTCCTCGTCCACTTATTGACACTTTCCTTCGGATTGCCCTTAGTCATCCTGGCCCAGGATGAGATTCAGTGCCCGAATCCCTCCGAAATCGAACCCTGCGTCTGCGAAATCAATTCCGATTTTGGCTATGACATCCTCCTCCTCGATTGCAGTGCCGTCACGTCCACGGAAGAACTGCAGGTGGCTTTCCAAGCGGATTTCCCCACCCCTGTCGTCGACGAGCTTCTCGTAAGAAATGCAACGCTGGATTTCCTCCCGGCGGGTGTCTTTGGAAGTAAGGAGTTGAAGAAAGCCATCATTTCCGAGTCGAGACTGAGATCGGTGGACGGAAATGCCTTCGCGGGATCGGAAGGATCTCTGACCTGGCTTGACCTGAGTGAGAATCAGCTGCAAGAATTTCCGTTCGAGGAAATTCTCTCAGGCCTGACTCAGCTCTCTCATTTGACACTGTGGAGGAATTCCCTGAGTTCTATCCCTTCTCTGAGCAGCCAATCTCTGCTTTGGCTCAATTTGGCATTCAATCAGATTCCATCTACCGAGGCACCTCTATTTTCGGGTCTGGAAAACCTTGAAACATTATACATCGGCGGAAATCCTTTAACCGAGCTGCCCAATGGCCTGGTTTCTCCTCTGGGGAAGCTGAAAGACTTCGATGCTTCAAACTCCTTCATCTCCGACTTGACTGTTGGAAGCTTGATCTTCCAAAGCGATCGAGTTTCTAGCGTGTCCCTGAACAATAACAGCATCAGAGCCATCGAACCCGGAGCAATCGGCGGTATGACGATAACTACATACGATATGATGAATCTAAACAAAAAATGTGTAAATTTTCAATCTATATAATTCGTTTCACACCCAACTGCAGGCTTGAGTTATGACTCCTGGCTCTGGCTGGGCGATAACAAGCTTATGGCATTGGAAGAGAACACTTTTCGTCCAATCCTCCAGTACTTCACAAACGAGTACTACGGTCGCATCTACGTTCGAAGTGAGTCGACCCTATTGCATCGAAGCAGATGCATTACGTTATTTCGTTTCGTCACTAAACAGCTTGTGATTTGACAGATAACCCCTTGCTCTGTGAATGCGACATGGCCTGGCTCTTTGTGAACACGTCTCTCTTGTATCATGTGGAAGGGAATTGCTGGAATGGAACCGACATCTGGGCCATGGACCAGACTTACTTCGAGCAAAACTGTTTCCACTAATCGAGTGGCTGTCACGTTCAGCATAGCGCATCCACGAATGAAATAATAAAAAAGCTTCACTTGGACTGCCCAGTACCCTCTGTATTAGCAAGCAATCATGAAATATAACATTGATAATATACACAGTGATTCATGCACTAATAAATTGAAAAGAATCATTGCTGGCCGAAGCTAAGGACTCTAGCATGTGAAAGACATGCACACATAAACAAGTACATTCATCATTATTGATTCTGATACGGTATAGTCACAGAAAGAAAGGGGAATAAAGAAGGAGTGGCATTTATATATTTTGGAAACCTAACCAACAAGACATCAACACCCAATAATATTAATGTACAAAATATTCCGTCGCACATTTGGTTGTTTTCGAGTTATTGAATAAAGAGCACGAGCATGGTCCTTTAATGCTGCAAATGCCAATCTTCGACGGATCATCATTGTCCATAATTTTATAGACCCAGATGTCATCATCCGAACAATGATGTAAGATTACACGAATAAACAATTGCAGGTTTTAAAATCGCCAGGATTATTTGAACCGTCTACTTTCCTACAAAGAGGGGAGCGCTAGCTCCAGTTTTCCTCTTTTTTTGCTCATTTTACCTCGTCCCCCCCCCCCTCCCCCCTCCCCCCTTTATTTTTCCCTCTGGAGGAGAAAACAAGAGAAAATTGGAGTGATTTTCCTCTTTTCTCTCTTCCCAGAGTAAAAAGGGAGTGGAACTAAAGTTACCGCTAGCTTGTTTAAGAGTGTATTTTTTAAATCCGAAACGTACCTTTACGCTGAGTCGAAAATAATTATTATTTCTTTCACAGTTCCTTTTCGTGTGGCTAAAAGCATGCTCACGGGATGAATCCCGCTAATTCACATTTATCCCTCACAAAAAAATCCACATCTCTTGCCTATCCAACGGGATTCACCGTGCAAGTATTCTGATGTCTTGACTTCTGGTGTTTGAATTCATGCCACAATTTCTTCCAATTCACTCTAAAGAAATACCACCTATAACCACTTCGAATCATTCGGGAATAACCCTAAAATTAATCATGAAACTTCTGATCGCCACGTAACGGGGATGACAACAAAATTCGCCAGAAGGTCATGATAGGAGAGGCGTGGAATGATGGTTGGAAATGGCCATTCTCATCTACGCCCTTCCAAGCTCGTGTTAAAATTTATATTAAGCTTAATATGGTGCCAATTTCGTTCTCGACATATGCCTTCTCTCAGAATCTTCCAGAGGAAATGATATTATTGAGGACTATCCTAGGATTCAAACTACTGCTGAAAGTTCACGAGTCCCATAAGGATCCAGGTTTGAATCTTCCCACAGGTAGGATCTTGTTTCACACCTAATTTCACACCATGTCACGTGAGTTAAGGACCCATAACGAACTGGCATCGAACCCCTTTAGCAACTTAAAATCGGTTACTTTTATGCCTCTTCTTCGCAGGGCATCTCCGTTGATGTAGCTGGACTCGAGACCTGCTTGGTTCCGACAAAGAGCGACGAAGCAGGGACCCAAAATTGAATTTGCTGGAATCCATGGGAACGAGGACGACGAGAGAGCACGTGGTCCGCGTTTTCCCCACATACAGCATCTCCTCGTACGGATAGTCCTCGTCATCCTTCGGGGGTGTGACGAGGACGACGACCTTCGCCTCCAGTCCCTTGAAGCGTCTGACCGTGTCCACCACGACCTTGTTCTTCGATGTTCTCCCTGCCTTCTGTCCTCTCAGCTCCGACCGCAGAAGCTCGACGTAACTCTGATCTGGCAGCAGCACTGCGATCTCTGACTTCTGCAGACTCTGGAACCGTCTCAAGAAGTTCTCGAGTTTCGTACGAGCGTCTTTGAAAGAAAAGTATTCGACCACTTCCACTTCCGGACCCGGATGATCGTGACCCAAGGAAATCTTCGACGAATCGAATATGTTCTCCTTCTGCTTCTTCGCAAGAGCATCTAGTTGAGGTTGATAGTGATCGAAGACGCTTTTCGTATTCCTCAAAACCGTGCACAGGGACATTGCACCTCTCAGTGCGTTACTGGCCGTGAGTGGAATCGTCTGCTTGTAGAGAGTTTGAAAGACATCATAGCATTGCCAAAAGTACCGAATCTCCTCTTCCGATTGTATATGATAAGCTCGAAGGATTTTGAGCCAGATATCTCCATACATGCAGAGATCTTGAGCTTCGTCAACAAAGATGTGATGGTACATAGGCTTGACTGTTCTCAAAATCCTCGGAAGCGTTCTCCTTTTAACTTTCGGAGTCATCTGCAAATATTGCGATTTCCCCCTCTTCCAATCCACGAGGCTGTCAAAGGTGGAGATGGTGACAGTCTCCTTCACTGCCTCGAGAAATTCCTCTCTGTTACTGGAAAATCTCACGGTTACATCGAGGACGCGACCCAAATAATTATTGTCTACATGACTGTACAAATCGGGCTTCTTCTTAAAGAGCTCCAGCAGTGCTTTGCACTCTTTAACAGTCGCTCTCAACTGGGAAATTACGCTACAACTTAAAGAATTGTAAATAGCTTCCCGCAAATGGTCACACAGTGGCCTATTGAAGCATACCAGGAGAATCTTTTCTCTCGATGGATTTGCAGAAAAAAAAGAATCAATGAAGACATTACGAATTTTTTCCACGAGCAACCAGGTCTTTCCGGTGCCTGCAGGCCCTTTGAAAACGCAATCCGGAGGACTTTCCAGCAACATCTTCAGTTTCTCTGGAGTGATGAAATTCGTCAAATGATCAGACACCTTGTCGGCAGTCATCGCTGGTGTGGCATGAACCGGTGCTATATATCTGCCAAGAGAAAACAACGTTCATCTTCAACGGCAAAAAAAGGGAACTGGAAAATCTTGGTAATGAACCTCAAGACGTCACGGTTAAAATAATTTTTGTCCAGGAGTCTAAGCCCTGTCCGAGAGGATCACTGAACTGCTCATAGATGTCATAAACTCTGGCAATAGCAAATTGATATTGAGAAAACTATTGGAATGACACAAATCCAAAGTAGCTGCTGCTTTATGTTGATCTGGGGTCTGGTAAAGTTTACAAATGGAATACAAATGCCTAAAAACCTCAAACATTATTTTTAAATCCTTCCATTCAAAGAATTTGCTTATTTGCCAATTATTCTACATAACAGAGATGGAGTTGTGGGTAAGTACATTCTCTGAGTTTCTTTGGCCATAGAATGGCTAATATATCTCAGTATTTGCCAAACACTTAGGAGACAAGGCAACTCCAGCCTTATCTTACCTAACTATTTTCCGATCGTGAGTGCTTTCAGTATTTCAGCGATTTTGTTGGGTATCAACTACTCCCAAAACAGACACTCGTACCGTGTTCAACCTAGACAAGACATACAGTTTTCCCTCAAATTAGGCTCAGCGCTTCACTGAGGTACATTTTAGTACTGGCAGCACTAGCTCAGTCGGTGTAGTGTGTTTGCACTGCAGTATGCTTTCCTTACTCACACGGCCAGCAGCTTGAGATAGATGTCGAGCGGAAGCTTCCTCACTTTCTGACCTGCCATGTCCAGATATTTCTCCCACCACTGCTCGAAGGCCTTAACGGATTTGCAGTCCTCTTCGTACAGGATGTTCTCGTGCGTGGGTTCGCGTCCTTCTTCTCTGCCGAGGTTTGGGAAGGCTACGATGGCGTGGTGGAAGGGGAAGGACTTCTTCACTTCTTTGTTCTTCATACCGCATTCTTTCATACATGCCTTCAGTTGGCTCAAGTGCGCATCCGTTATCTTTATGTATTCACACACACGAAGAAAACTGGCAGCTGACTTTTCTTGTTGTTCTGTAGCCTTATTTTTATTTCTCTTGATGGAATCGGGTTTCTTGCTCTCCAACAATTTAACCTCGATGAAGATAATGCCCAATTATGCGATGTATCACCACGATGTCGTGTTCTCCTTGCAAGCTTCGATCAGACCGCAATGCCTCCAAACCTCCCCCGGATTCGTACGTGCTCAAGCAATGAACGAAACTCCGATTGTAAGTTACAAACATGGGCTGATCGTTCTTCTTGCCAAACTCGTACAAGAGACGGACGAGGGATCTCTCGGCTCTTCCTCCTCCTTTCTTGCTGGAATCCGTCCATTTCTCCACGTCTCGGACTTGGGGGACGAGGTGAGTCTCGTTGCTCTTATCCCAGTCGGGGAATTCCTTTTCGATGAACTTTTTCGCTTGCTCCAACCAAGTTCTACCCTTGTTGTTCACCTCGCCCATGGTGCTTTTCGTCACGAAAGAGGGGTGCTTCAACGGATGATTCAAGTGAGGGCACAGACACGAGCCATGATCAAGGTTTCGTGGTACCAATTTTCACACAAGGATATGGAATCAGTTTCCAGCCCAATGAGTTCCTGGTCCTGAGCTCCTCATCGACTCTTTTCCTATCTAAGTGACCTTATCTTCCACATAGAGTCAATGAAACCACCGACCAGGATAAGGGATATACAGGGTCTTCCAGAATTCACGACAGATGAGATTGTGGCGTGCCCCTGACGCAGGTGGAAGGAAAACATCAACACGTTTGCTGCCACGTGGATCCCATAGGGCAGGGGTGTCAAACTCAAATCGGTCGGAGGGCCGCATTCCCTACCGTGCATATGCCTGCGGGCCGCACCCATAATTTTTCACTGAAATTTGTGGTGACAGTCTATCAAAGCAGAAATTTCTAAAACACAAGGCGGGCCGGATGAACCACCCCCGCGGGCCGTATGTTTGACACCCCTGCCATAGGGCATACAGTGTGTTTTCTCCGAGGTCACGCGGGTTCGATGAACGCTGACGGTTTCACCTCGAAAGCTCCCGCAGTTCGTAGGTCCTACTGCCTCCTGTTCAGCTTGTGGCTACGGGACCTACTTGGTCTCTAGATGAAAACTGCACAATTAGTATCGTAATTATTTCATTTCTTGAAGTTTTTTTTTTCAAGTTTCACATAGAGTTGGAGAAAATTTTAATGAACAATAAATTAATAGGGAAAAACGCATTTGAACAGGAGGGAAAAGTCTGCGAAAAAGGCCTTGGTAGCCAACATGTTAACAAAACGCCAGAAGTACTGTAGGGTAGG